GTAGATTACGGATCACCTTGCAATGTAGAATAGAATTTGCGTCACGAGTAGGATTTTCATTTCGTATTTTCGTTGGTCGTTCGAAATCCTACTTCATCTTGTTTTTTTTTAAATTTTTTATGTTCTTGTTTGTGTTGATTTTTTATAATATTTCGTATTTTCGTTGGTCGTTCGGAATCCTACTTCATCTTGTTTTTTTTTAAATTTTTTATGTTCTTGTTTGTGTTGATTTTTTAAAATAATATTTATAGTATTTCTTTAGTTGCAATTGTGATACTTGTTGATTTTACACAAACAATAATTTTCTTTATTATTATTATCATTGTTATAACATTTATGAGAGACAGCATTGAATAGACATGGTGAAGGAAAATCAACTATACTGATGACAAGTGAAACTAATACTAGTCTTGACACAAGTCCTTGTTCAAGAATCTGTGAGCTAAGAGTGTCCATCTTCCCTACTATTCCTGTTCTTCAAGGCTGTTGTCAAGTTTTGTCAAGTTCATAATTATCATTGCATATCATAAGTCATAACATTAATTAATTGTTTGTTTTTTAAAATAAAATAAAATAAAACACTTGATAAAACAGTAACATGTAAAATCAATACCTTCTTTTAGCTGGAAACCTCCACTAAAGTATTGCAGTAAGTTGATTCCATTCCAAGCATAGCTTGGTAACAAAAATAAATTGCTTCTTCCAGAGCTGCAGATCTGAGCATGCGCGACCACACCCAAATTTTGGAGCACATGGCAAGCTTCTTTAATTAACAAAATGGCGGCATGTAGCTAAGATGACTCAGTCGATCCAGCAGTCACAGACTCACAGTATCACTTTTTCCTTACTTGAAGAATGATCTGATGGGACACGGACCTGCGAATAGACTGTTGGAGTAGATTGGTGTAAGAATTATCCTTGTAGCATCAACTAATACCAAGATACACACCGACAACTGGATTGACAGGACTTGATGATGAAGATGAAAAAAGGTGGCTGAACAAAACGGCCGGTTCGCCGATTTTTGAATTTCCTCTTAGACAGGGCCTAGAGCCACGCTAGTGGTACCATTGGAGTCCTCTGGTCAAGATAAGGTCCTCTATAAAGTCTGGTGAGCATAGGAGCTCGTTTTCCCGGTATAGCAAGGCTGCAAAAGTCGTGGCAGCCATTTTGTTTGGGGGTGAATCCTACTTAGTAACGCTACCGCGTTACTAATAATGTCTTGACTTTTCCCCAAAATTTACTATTTGTAATAATGGTCATAACTCAATTGTTTTTAGTGGTGATTATGCTGGGGCTCTAGTAAATTATGAGAAAGGCATTACAAATGATCCAAAGGTAAATAGAATATATAAGCATTGCTGTTCATTAAAGACACTTGCTATTGGTAGACTACAGCTCATGATGACTTGTGTGTGGCTGGAATGGCAAGAACATCACTTTATACTGGTGACATGAGAAGGTATAATGATTCAATGTGTTTTACTGATCCAGTGATCATATATTGTTAGGGGATTAAAATTAGCTCATGCTAGTCCTGATAAACAATTAAAAAAAGATTGTGCTGCCATTCTTGATAATCTAAAAGTAATTCAATATACAGTATATGCAATGTTTAT